TGTTTATTGCGCAGTAGCTGTCCCTGCTGCACCAACTGAGCAAGTTGAGTTCATGGTTCATCTCAGACCGTTTCTCCATCAACTAGAGCAGTTCTGTTTTCCCTATCACTTTCTTCTTTTTCTGCCTCAGTAAGTAACCTTGGCCATTCATCATCCAGCTCTCCTCTCTATAAATAATGTTGTGCATTGATCACCCTCTCTTGATGATTCCATTTTAGTCAACAGCTCCCTTCAGATCACGTACCTTCAATGTACAAGATCTTCATTCCTGCCTGCTGTAGTTGGCTGAATCATTAAACCTCATATTCGTTGAAGACCCAAGGAGAGTCCATTTTCCTTCTGTTCTTCGAAGACCGTGTTTCTCAATCATTCATTTCCATTGCTAGTTCCACTGGTCTTTGATGGCTCCAGATTTAATCTTCTCTAACTTCAGATGGAAGATTAACATCTCTTATATTGCTAAAAAAAAAAACTTTCTTTACCAAGCACTTATATTCCCTTCAACTCTTGACTTTCATTAAAGATATCACTTATTATCTGGAAGAATCATGAGGAAAAGGTGCATTGGTGTACAACTGCCCACCATTGCAAACTTTCAAACAGTTGTTAAGTTTCGTGATTGCTGCACCAGTTAGCATGTTGGAATCAAACTTCAAATTTTAATGTATTTATGGAGAGCGAAACAGGTGCAAATTAGTGCCTTCTCTTGGACGAAAAAAGAGAATGGAGAAAACTGGGCCAACAAAACTAAAACTCTTCCAGTTGACTCATCGTAATAACTTAATGTAGTTTAAAATGTTTAAACCAGTTTGCAGGATTACCATTTTATGCTTGAGACTTGGCTTTTTAAACGTTTGCCTGGATAAGGATTTTTTTTATATGTACTGTGACTGGGAATGGGAAGCAATTGGAATCATGGAATTACATTGTCTAAGCTGACACTCCAATGCAGTACTGGGGTATGTTGCATTGTCGAAGGTGCCGTCCTTCAGATGGGACGTTAAACAAAGGCCCCTCTCTCCTGTTCAGGTGTATATTAAAGACCTCATGGCGCTATTCGAAAACAGAGGGTAGTTTCTCCCAGTGTCCTGGCCAATAATTTCCCAAATAAAAAAACTGGTCACTCACTGTTTGTGGGACATTGCTATGTGCAACTGGCTGCCAAGTTTAGCCCACAAAATACACAGTCAATCCACTTTACAGTATATACACAGTCAATCCACTTTACAGTCAACTGGAAGAGTGAAGTGAAGTGCTTTGAGTCGTCTCAATGACATGATAAGGCACTCTATTATTATAGAAATTATGTTAAAAATGTAAGCAGTGTATTTATATAATTCTTATTTCTCAGAATCTTTGATTATTTAACAGCTGCTGTGCGATTCAAACTGAAAAGGTAATAGAAATAGACAATAATTGACAATAGAAATAGAAAGCTGAGGCAAGTTCATTTCTAGTTTTTCAAGGTGTGGATGTTAAACAACATTCTCTGGAATTCAAACAATTTAGTAGAAGTTTCAACCATTGAGAGAATAACTCTAAGGAGATCATTCTCCATATACAGATTAATCACATTTATGTTACTTTCTTGTCATTGATCAATGCTTCATTTTATTAAAATATTTATTAAAATATTTTAATAAATGAAGCCTGAATAAAATAAACACCCCTTATTTACAGGAACATTCAACAGTAGCAAATGTCTGTATTACATTAAGACTACAAAATAATAAACAATTCTTGAATTTGATATAACACCTTATCACATTAATGTCTCAAAGCACTTCATAGCTTTACTATAAACATGGTTACTGCGTATTTTTAGGCTAATGTGGCTGCTAATTTGTGCATCGTAATGTGCCAAAAAGAGCCACGAATGAATGAATGATTAAACTTTTTACATGGTGCGGATAGCAGGAGAAATTACCTTCTCTTTTTGAATAATGCCATTGGATCTTTTAACATCCACCAAAAAGGCAAACAGGACCTCAATTTTAGCATTTCATCCAAAGGCCCCACCTTTGACAATGCAACCCTCCCTGAACCCTTTATTGGAAATGCCAGTCTAGACTGTGAGCTCAAAGTTGCGATGTTGAGCTTGAACCATGGCATCACCCTAATATGTTTAGCCGTCTGCGGACAGACTATTTTTCTAAAAAAATGTAGCTAGTCATTAAAGACATCACTAACCCCAAGGAGAATGGAATGTCAAGGTATTGCATCTCAACAGTGAGTCCATGCACTAACTGCTTTCAAAACTATTCACTTGGTCTTCAAAACAATTCAGATCACAACTTGCAATTGGAATGTTTTGCAGAATTCCCAAAGAGTTAGATTTCCTCCATATTAAACTGTAAAATATTACAACATTTACAAAGTGGCAATCTGTTGAATATTTATTGCTTTAATCATATTTCAAATGATAATGAACGTTACTGAAAATAATAAGCGTTCTTCAGTGGAATAGTTTGTATTCTAATCCAGATTATTGATTATAATGGGACGATGCTCCATTGACTATAATCGGAAGTGCTTTGACACGCCTAGAAGACGTGAGAAGCACTATATCAAATGCAAGGATTATTATTATTAAGATGAACACTGGACTTGGTAGCAAACAGCAACAACAACAACTTGCATTTATATAGCTCCCTCCATGTCGGGCGGTGTCTCAGAGGCTTAACAATGGCGGAGCCCAAGGCCGAGCTGGGGGAAGGTGACCGTGGGCGTGGTCGAAGAGGAAGGTCTTCAGGCGCGACCTGAAGATGGGGATGGAGGGGACGAGGCGAAGGGGTTGAGGGAGAGAGTTCCAAAGTTCCAAACTGTAGACCTCAGTGCTTCTCTATTCCTAGAAACATCAGAAAATAAAAAGGAAATCTCCAATGACAGATACAGTGTTCCAAACTCATTCTGTCATTCCAAAATACAATTACTTGGACTCAGGTAGATTACTTCTGAAAAAGATCTGTGAAGGTCGAAATCCCAAATACCATTCTTTTTGCTCTTCTTGGAAACCTCTGCAATGTTGAAATTACCTTTTGAAAGTTATGATGCCCAAAATATTAATTAAATTCCAAATTGGGTCTCACCGGTGATTCATACTGCATAACATTTGATCACAGAAGGGTTACCCTACTGTGAGGTGATGCAGATTCAATCTGGTTGATTTCATTTTTTTTAACCAACAGTACATATCATCATCATCCTTGCATTACCACGTCACTGAGACGTCTCAAAGCACTTCACAGACTATATTTTAAAAGTGGATTGACTGCATATTTTGTAGGCAAATAAGATGAGCCAAACTCTGCGAACTACACACTTAATGACGACAACAACTTGCATTTATATAGCACTCTTCAGACTGGGTATTGTCTTGGAGCACTTGTTCGGTGCCTGTTCATATGTTATACCAGTTAACATTTTTTTCTTATAAGTGGAGGGAATGGGTTCCTCAAAGATCCAAAGTGCCCAAATTTGATTCTATTGGTATAGTTGAATTTTCAGGGGGGGGGGAAAAAACAGAAAGAAAATATAAAACCAGTGGATATGAATGGATTTTTTTTTAAAAAAATGCATTTAATGAAGATTATAGACCGAGTTACAATTAGTTATAAAATGTGTTACCATTAATATGAGCAGTGAGCACTTACAAGACAAATATTTAGGAGTAATATATATATATATATCTCATGAAATTTTAAGTACGACCTTTGCAAGGTTCAAAAGGGAAAACTACCGTAACAGTAACTGATTTCACATGTGTGTGCAAACTGTCAGACTGGTGAAATGCTGCCCCAAACCCAAGCTTCTCCCACACTGCCTTGGATGGGCTGTGGGAAGAGCAACTGCACAATGTTAGAACGTACCAGAAATCCCAATAGTAGAAAAGTCTCGTTATTTGAACGACGTCAAACACCGGGAGTGAGTGTGTGAGTGTGAGTGAGTGTGTGTGTGTGAGTGAGTGTGTGTGAGTGTGTGAGTGTGTGTGTGAGTGTGTGAGTGAGTGCGTGTGTGTGAGAGTGAGTGTGTGAGTGTGAGTGTGTGAGTGTGTGTGTGTGAGTGTGTGTGAGTGAGTGAGTGTGTGAGTGAGTGTGTGTGAGTGTGTGTGAGTGAGTGTGAGTGAGTGTGTGGGTGAGTGTGTGTGAGTGAGTGAGTGTGTGTGTGTGAGTGTGAGAGTGAGTGTGTGTGTGAGTGTGTAAGTGAGTGTGTGAGTGAGTGTGTGAGTGTGTGTGTGTGTGTGAGTGAGTGTGTAAGTGAGTGTGTGTGTGTGAGTGTGTAAGTGAGTGTGTGAGTGAGTGTGTGTGTGTGTGTGAGAGTGAGTGTGTGAGTGAGTGTGTGTGTCTGAGTGTGTGTGTGTGTGTGTGAGAGTGAGTGAGTGAGTGTGTGTGTGTGTGTGAGTGTGTGTGTGTGTGAGAGTGAGTGTGTGTGTCTGAGTGTGTGTTGACCATATCGTCGCCACCAATCGTCTAAAGGTAAGTGTTTTCAACACGATCAGCATCGACTGGTGCCCTCTTTCTTGGTGGAGATAAGTCAATGTTTACTGCAGATCTTTCCTTCCTCGACAACATATCACAGACGTGGGGATCGGGGTTGGAGAGGGGTTGGGGGTTGGGTGGGGGTGGGGGGGGGGGGGGGGGGTGGGGAGGGGGTTGGGGGTTGGGGTCGGGTTTGGGGGTTGGGTGGGGGGGGGTTGGGGGGACTTTACAGGGCGACTTTTTTTTATCAATAAAGTCTTTACATCAGTCGTCGGGTGACAGTGACCCCCAGAGATCAGCAACACTGACTTTTCGGTCTGTGTGACACCCCGAGCAGTGAGTGAGTGTGTTTTTTTTGTGGGGGGACGGGGGGACGAGACCGAAACACATGTACACACGGCATAGCCCGTGACTCGATCCACACCGACAACAAACCGAACAGCTCCCGGACAGTACAGGACAGGACAGGACAGTACAGGACAGGACAGCACAGCACAGCACAGCACAGCACAGCCCACCTACCTCGGTACACCAGAGACTTTCGCAACTTCCTTCTTTTCGACCGGCGGAGGACGGCTGCGGGAGGAATGTATATATAGATATATATATATAATGTGTATATATATGTATATAAAGTGCGGCGCCTCGCAATTAATCTCGTGTCTGTCGCTTGAAATCACATTGTACGGTCGCTTTAAAACGCCGCTGCTACGTCTTGACACAGTGCCTCCTCAGCTGTCAGTAGACTGTGGCCGCTCAGACGGTGGCTGTGTGTGTGTGTGTGTGTGTGTTTATATCTCTCCCTCCCTCCTCCTCCCTCCTTCCCTCCCTCCCTCTCTCCCTCTCTCTCTCTCACACACCGGCTCCAGCGTCGAAACTACGCGAAAAAAAAAGAGAGAGAGGCAGACACTGGGTGATTGACAGATCATCAGGTGCGCGCCATCTGATTGGACGGGGCGTCGCCGGGGCAACGAGCGGAGGCTTACTATTGGCTGTCAACATGTATCGGCTTTCCGCCCTCTCCCGCGCGATCCATTGAGAAAAAAGGAGGCGGTGACCGCCCGGTGAGTGAGTGAGTGTGTGTGTGTGTGTGAGAGAGTGAGTATGTATGTGTGTGTGTGTGTGAATGAGTGAGTGTATGTGTGTGAGTGAGTATGTGTGTGAGTGAGTGAGAGTGAGAGAGTATGTGTGTGTGAATGAGTGAGTGAGTGTGAGTGTATGTGTGTGTGAGTGAGTGTGTGTGTGTGAGTGGTTGAGAGAGAGAGTATGTGTGTGTGAATGAGTGTATGTGTGTGAGTGAGTGTGTGTGTGTGTGTGTGAGTGTATGTGTGAGTGAGTGAGTGTGTGAGTGAGTGAGTGAGTGAGTGTGTGTGTGTGTGAGTGAGTGCTCTCCAGGGCTCAGAGCGCGGGCTTTGCGTAACTCTGCTTTTAACGTTTGCTGCGACCAGTACAGCAGTCGGAGTGATCGCACGTACAAACCCCATGATGTAAAATAGCGTATTATGTTACCCGTGTGATATCAAGTGCAGTGTATAAGGGTGTGGGGTGTGTGTGGGGTGTGTTTGGGGGGTTATATGTTCGGGTTTTTTTTTTGGGGTTTGCCAGTGGCTCGATTCCAAATGCCCAGGCCTGGCCTCCCCTCTCTGTGCCTACGCCCTCCCGATGATTAAGTGGCCGGTGTCACACGGAGAGGTTTCGGTGCACGACACGAAGGTGCGCTGCGATGTGTGTGTGTGTGGAGGTGGAGGTGGTTTGCGTCGGCTGTGGTAACGCGTTCCCATTGAGCAATCGTTGGCTAATCTTTGACAGACTCTCTCTGTACCGTTGCCAGGCGAACAGCTGCACACACACACACACACACACACTCACACACACTCACACTTAAAACACACGAAAACAGTAACTTTGTAAAAAAAAAAATTGGCTTTTGGTCATATCTTGTGGGGTTCGAGCGGATTAGCTGTTTTCTGTGTTTCGTGCATTTTGGATGTGGGTTACAACGATATGGTCCAAACGAAACAGTGCCCCAGAACTGGCGACGCCAATGTACCAGTGCGAGTATCAGGACTGGATAAGGTTGTAATAAGTGCTGCTCTCCCCCACTCTTCCTTCGTCTCGTCTTTTTGAGAAAATAAATCCTTTAGGGATTGGATGTGGATGGAGTGAGGTAGCACACACGTTACTCTGTGTTGGGGGACCAGGACTCTAACGTGTCGGTCCTGTGTGTGTGTGTGTGTGTGTGTAAAGTTCTTGGGTCACAACCGGTTAAAATTTGGTTCGCCGAATGAATGGTTTCATGAGGGTTTTCAGAAAAACCCCAGAACATCCTGTAGTTCGCGTGAGACCTGAAACCGTTCTGGTGACAGTCTTCGTAACGACAGCACTAACATACCCCGGAATTTTAAGCACAGTTGTACATTCCATTAACCACTTTCATCCTGTGGTTTCCTGGTGTATGTGGGACTCCAGAGAAAAAGTAAGTCTGTAATTCAGCACTGATGGATAAAGTTGGCCGTTTGGCAGTGATGGATGGTGTAGAAATTAGAAACGATATGTACCACAGCAATAGGGGATGCTTTCCAGAAGTTAGAGCAACAACAACGACAACGACAACAAGATTCCATTTATTGAGCGCCTTTCACGTCGGGAGGACGTCCCAATAGCAGACTGTGGAGGATGATTGTATTCCAGTTTACTTGACACCCTGAACAGTGAATTCCTGAATGCGAATTCATAGAATCTTACAACACAGAAGGAGGCCATTCGGCCCATCCTGCCTTTGCCAGCCCTTTAAAATAACTGCCAACTAGTCCCACTCCCCCCACTCTTACCCCATAGCCCTAATGTTCCCTTATTCGGTTGAGAAGGAAGACTGGCCCACACCAAATTTTCAAACTGTTGACAGATTTTTTTTATCAGTGGAGTGAAGTAAAGGACGTTAGCGTCAAATTATCTAAGTAACAGAGTATTGAGTCCTGTACCTCAGTGGTTAGAGCATTCGCTTTGCAAGTGAGAGACCTGAGTTCAATTCCAGGCAGAGGGCGAAACCTTGGGCAAGTTTCCTTACTCCACACAGAGCCTAATAATAATCCCTCCAAAACCAAAAACAATAATAAATTGGTCATTTTCAATCTACGACTGTTTGTGGGACATTGCTGTGCGCAATTAGCTGCTGCGTTCGCCCACAAATATACAGTCAATTCACTTTAGAGTATATTCTGTGAAGCACTTTGGGACGTCTAGAAGACGTGAAAAGCTCTATATCAAATGCAAGGATTATTAATATTATTATATTGAATATGCTTAAATATGCTATTGCCTGCATGAGTTTTATATCTAGCTCTAAAACTAAGTTTAAAAATGATAGTTGCACCAATAAAGCCATCCAAATAGTTATTCTTCCACTTGGTCACGCTTCATAAGCAGTATTGTCTTCATACGTCCAGAAACAGAGCAAAGCCAAGCACAAATCCTTCAACAAATGTAATATTTATTGTAATCCTTGCACTTAATATAGTGCCTTTTCGCATCAGGAGGATGCCTCAAAGGGTTTCATAGGATATATTTAAAGTCTAGTGACTGTGTATTTTGTGAACAAACACAAATATGCTAGCTTACCATGTTTGTTGGCATCCACAAGTTCCAAATCTTCCGAAACCCGGCAGCCCATTTTCTCTCTGGCACTCAGCTCCACAAGCCCATCAACCCAGCAGAATACTTTTAAGATCCTTAGCCTTCCCCCACCCTACCTCAGTGATCTCCTGTGACCATACTCATTTGTTGTTCCTCTACTTGGATTTTTGATTTTTCTACAAATTACAACTTCCCTTCAAAGTTCACTGCTTGGTAATTCAATTAAATGTGTCTTTCCTCGTCAGCTGCCTCCCTCTCTCTATGTTGGCACTTCCAGCCTCAGTCAGCTGTTTCTCTCAGTACCTACTCAGTGGTTAGAGCACTCACTTTGCAAGTGAGAGACCTGAGTTCAATTCCAGGCAGGTCAGGGCGAAACCTTGGGCAAGTTTCCTTACTCCACACGCCTAATAATAATCCCTCCAAAACAAAACAATAATAAATTGGTCATTTTCAATCTACGACTGTTTGTGGGACATTGCTGTGCACAATTGGCTGCCGCGTTCGCCCACAAATATACAGTCAAACCACTTTACAGTGTGTTCTGTGAACCGCTTTGGGACGTCCTCCTGACGTGAAAAGCGCTGTATCAAATGCAAGGATTATTATTATTATTACTTTGCTGTCCTCAAATTGCTGCTGCTGGGCTCTTAAGGCATTGCCATATCCTTTTCATACAGACCCTTGCCTGTGAATTGCTACAGGGCAGTTTATAATAATAATAATCCTTGCATTTGGTAAAGCTCATTATCCCATCCTTGAGATGTCTCAAAGCGCTTCACAGAATATACTGTAAAGTGAAGTGACTGTGTATTTTGTGGGTGAAATGTGGCAACCAATTGCACACAGCAGTGTCTCACAAACAATCGTGGATTGAAGTAAACAATTTATTATTTTTTTGAAGGAATTATTACCCCCGGAAAAGCGATCCGCCAATCGACTAACAACCGGGTTCCTACTTACTGCTAGGTAAACAGAGGCTTGTGGAGTAAGGAAACTTTCCCAACATTTCGCCCTGTCCAGGAATCAAACCCAGGTCTCTTGCTTGTGAGACAAGTGGTCTAATCACTGAGCTGCAGGACTCTGTACCACTGAGCAGAGAGGCTATATGGTCTTAACAACCACTGTATATGGGTACTCTGTCTCCCAAGATCACACAATGAAATAAAAACAACAGCCCATTGCATCAAAAGCTACAAACTCCAAACACCTAGTCTTTAGATTCGAAAGTACAATTGAAGTGCAGTACCCGGGAAAATCTGGAACCTACTAAAGAACTTTAACAAAAGGAAAGGTTGAAAGCTCACAGCAATCATTGGTCTCTGGCCTGACCCTTGGCCACCACAGTACAACCAGAACCAGGCAAACAACCTGTGGACAACATGATCCCTGCTGTGTATATGTGATCTTTTAGTTGTTTGCAGTGATTGTGTTAAACTGCTCACATGTAATAAGTATCCCATATGCCAATGCTGCAATCCACTTCCTTAAAAGGAGTATATTACCTGTATTACAGAAAATCTATGCTGTTTATCATACAAAGAAAGTTATGTTTAACAACAACAACAAAATTACATTTATAGGGCGCCTTTCATGTCGGGAGGACGTCCCCAAGCGCTGTGTTTAACATTATTCTAAAAAGATTGAAGTTTCCATTTAAGAGATAACCCAAAGTGTGCAGTTCCCATTTGTATGCAAATTAATTGTCCATCTGGTCTTCCCGATATCTGCAGAACCCAGAATTTTGGAGGTGGGAGTAAGACTTGATGTACCATATAAGTATGGCATTGTAAAGATCAAAATATTTTCTTGAAAAACAATATTTAATATTGGAGATTTGATGAATATGGAAAATAGGATCAGCTGACGTTTCTCTCATTTCTTGTTAAAGAATCTACTACATTCAATATCAATTAATTTAATCATGCAGGTATGATACTGATACCCATCTCTAAATGTTTGTCCTGGTTTAACTTAAATCTAGTTAGTCTTATCTTCCTCCATTATGTTCCAGGCTCTGGTCCATGATAACAGTGGGCATATCGCCTGTCCCTGTACTACGTGCGCCTTAGGAAACAATTTGCATTTATGTAGCACTTTTGACATCAGGATTGTCTCAAAGTGCCTCACGGTGTGTTCGATAACCAGTATATAGTGCTAGAATGAGTGGTAGGATACAGCTCCAGCCTTTTATTCCCCAAAGCTTCTGATTTCAACTGTATTGCCATAAAGAGGTGCAGTATTAATTGCAGAATTACACCATCAATTGTAGAGATTCAGACAGGTTCTTCCTCCTGCTGCTGTGTACTCAGAATTGTGAGAATTCATTTCAGTAAGTGTGCTTTTGTTGCTTCAAATTTATTTTTGTCCCTGCCAGCAAATATGGATTCATGGTGGAAATCATTTTTGCATTCCCCAACTGCTGGTCTTAAGAGGTCAGATTCCAGGCTTTATTTTTATGAGAATGGTTTCAGATCAGCATTGGAAGTACAGTACTAATAATGTATAAGATGGATGAAGTTAACTTAAGTGAGTTAGAGCATTAGTGACTACACATCACTTTGATATGTGGGTGAGTAAACTGTAGGCAACTCAGTGGGTGGGTGACGGAACAATTTGAGAAATGGTGACTCAGCTACTACTGATTCAGCTATCAGATAAAAGCACGCAGTGACTCGCTGGGAGAGGTGTTAATTGCGCCAAGGATTTTGATCCTGACATTTATCTTTGGGATTAAAAATACAACATTTTGGAATAATACCTTAATTTGCGCTGCAACATTGAATTACTTCTTAGGAGACAAAATAATATCTGGTAGTTTAAACTTGATCGCCTGTCACTCTAATTGAAGCTAAAGGAAATAGTTAACTAATGGAAATAGGGGAGAGAAGAGAATATTCATTCAGTTTAGATTTCCTCCTGGCTATAAACAGGTGGAAGCATCAGTTACTTCTGCTGTTGCCATGCCAGGAAAATCCTAGCGGTAGTATTTTAGGAACCAATTTCATTAGATAATTTTGAGATCGTAGGGGAAGAGAATTGTGTGAAGAATCTGGGTGAAAATAGCATTACTTGAGTGTTAGTATTAAAAAGTGAAATCAAAATTTGCCTTGGTGCTTTTTTCATTTAAATGATCGTAGTTCAGAAGCCATAGAGAGAGAGTATGCTTGAGTGAGAAGTCAATTAAAAGGAGCCCTTTATAAAAATAATGAGACCACACAGGCCTGGAGTTCAATTATGGCACCCAAGTTTACCAAAATTACACTTTTTAAAAAAAAGGATTTATAAAATTACCAAATGCATGAAATTTAAAAAAAAAGTCTTCAGCCTACTTTGTTCAGATACAAACAAGTGCAGAACTTTGGCAGTATTTTATATTTCAAGATGTAATTGGAATTGCAATTTTTGTGTTATGCAAATGGATGGGGAGAGAAGGCAATGTTGAAATTGCAAAGCTTGCGTTTTTCGCACTTGTAAAATTAAATCAGCTACTTATTTTCAGTAGGAATATATGTCCAAAAATTCTTAGGCAGCCACATAATATGGAACTTTTTTGTTTGACTAAGATCATTTGGACATGTACAAATAGAATTTAGTGGGGGGGGGGGTAACGCATTAAGAAACAAAGTTTTTTGTGTACATTTATTTTATTTAAAAAGATATACAGTCTCTAAAAATGAAAAAAATCGTATACTTTTTTTATACGTCTAAAGTACTTGGTATTGTTCCAGGCTTCATTATTGCTTAAGAAATAATGACTAATGAAATATTCTATTAGTGAATAATATACAATGTTTCTTTTTGACACAAGATTGATTGTGTGTGAAAAAAAAATCTTAACCCCCAACTCTCATTACTTCCCAGGTACACACAGGTCGACAGTTGCTACTATTAATATGCTGCAACAATTTTCTAATGTTTTAACTAAAGAGAAAGTAATCTATATATAATACTGTTGTTAAAAGTATTCTTACCCTTTTAAAATAACTCTTGATACGACATTTGCAGACTGGACTGAGGCATTTGCCATCCAAATCAGGATTCATAATTATAACCATAGTTGCGTGCTCCAACTCAAAATTTCACAACTATATGATTCACTTAAATAAATAAATAACACGTGTAATAACTTACATCATCTGGCCCAATTAGATTCAGCTTTGTGCTAACAATCCAACCAAAAGAAAATATGGCTTCTATAAACAAAAATTGGCTTAATGTAAAATAAAATGTGCACCAAAGTGTATAAATCATAAACATTGCAAAAATAATTAATAAGCCCTTAAATTTCTACAATTTGGAATTCCTTAGCCAGCATTGTTCACCATCCCCTGTGCTCAGAATTCAGTGCTGTTTAGCTTGCATAGGACAAAGTGGAACATTTTCACTGTTTAAATCTACAGAAGATTTAGCAAGGAAATAATTCAATATTATTTTAACATATCTAACATGTCTGACCTAATTAACTTTCTAAAGATTACAATTAAGAATTGTCACTCTTAAAAATGGTAATGCAAATATGCTTTCCAGCAAATATTTTATATTACTATTAACTCTTCTACTTCATGAAATATTCATTCCCATCTACTAGCAAGGTCCAGAATATTCATGATCACATAATTAAAAGGATTTAGTTTTCATGGCAATTCTGAAAATGCAGGGCAGTTTCATTTTGCGACAGAGCTAATCTTTACCTGGCACAAAAGACATCATAAATCCCTTTTTTGAATCAGTTTAGGTGCATAACAAATATTAATATTTCAAAACTACTTTTTAAAACTGCTTAAATAGATCTCTGAGGAAATTTTTGGACTAAAAAATTAATTTGTATTAAAATATATTTTTCAACTGTATGAAAATATGTACCATTTCAGTTACAGTTGCGACTCCAATGTAGAGGAATAGACAATGAAAGCATTGAGTGCAAAAGACTGCAAGACGTATCTAAACACTGATGACAGATTTTAAAAGGAAAACTGGATAGAAAACTTGTAACTGGATATAAAAAGATGGAATTATATACAAACACGCATCTTAACTAAAGAAAAAATAAAAAGACAAATTAAGATCCAACAATAATCTCCATTATGTGATCTAATTCATTTAAGTCTGTTTTACAGTTCTGGGCAGAATTTATGGGTGCCAACGAGTGCGACGGTAAACCATTTAATAATTCATACGTGCTGACTGGTGTTGTTTTTGGACTGGTCATCAATCCAGACATCATCGAGTCAAGCTCATACCAAGAAGTATCAATGTCTGAAAACAGGTCATCTATTGTCATATCTGTAAGAGAACTAGAATAGTTTGCAATCTCAAAACTTCCAAACACTTGATCCGAGGGCTTTGGACTCTCCTTCGGTTCTACTGGCTGCTCCTCAGTTTCCAACATGTTCAAATCATTTTGCACTTGGACAGGATCTTCTATAATATCTGTGTCCTTAACAGAAATAGCGGCAGAATAAGCAATGTTTTCGCAAGATAGGTTTAGCTTGTTTATAGTAAGAGTGCTAGCACTATTGGTGATGGTAGCAGGTTCTACATGTAGCTCTTTCTTTGGACTACATAAGAAATCTGTGCCCATTAAGCTTTCTGACGAAGGTTGACCAATATATAGATCACTTCCTCTGAAAGCATTTTGTCCCTCCCAGGGGCAGTCCTGTATCATTTCCTCCTGGATTTGTCGCACGGTGTTGGCTATTAGCACTGAACGACAGAGGTTTGGTTCCACCAGCATTTTGCAGAGCTGAAGTTTGAATAATGAGATGTTTAGCAGTGATTGACGCTGCAAGTTATACTGTAAATTAAGACTGCTGTCAACAGGATCACAAGCATCCGTTTGTTCTTCAGAAAATTTTCGTTTCGTGCCTTTTGCCAACATGTCGGCCTAAAGAAACAAAGGGACAGTAATTAATATTTACCCTTGCAAGTATCACAATTTACATTGAAAGTGAACATTACAGTAAAAATACAGAAAATCAGATAATACAATTTTACCTAAATAACAACAACCTTCTAGTATAGATACATCAAAGTAGACACAAACATCCATTTTAGGGGTCCATCCAGGTCTTCTGCTCAGTAATACTTCACTGCATTTGATTACCAAAAGTAAAATTCATACTATGTACATTTGACCTTGGTGTGGACATTTTTCCTGCACACCAAAGTCAAAACGTTGGTGAAACTTCAGACAGAAATGCAAAGTGCAGTTGAAATAATTCTGTACAAAAAGAACAAGAAGCCTCGGGGAAGCACCTCATTAGAGATTCCACGTAACACAATCTGTAATAACTTAGGAACACAAAAGGTATTGAACTGGAACATGCCACTGTTGTCCACCAAGTGTAACACACTCTCCAAAAATTACAATTATTTAGCACCTTTCACATAAATGCTTGACAAATAGTGGTGGATTCCAAGCAGGGAATCAAGTGTTTTAAAATTGAAGGCACGATCAAAGATATATATTTTAGACTACTTTGAAGGCAGCGAAAGAGATAGCAAGGCAAAGTGGTTTTGGAAGAGAGTTCCATAATGAATAGAAGCTTGGCTACTGTTAGTGGAGCAAAGAATGTGTGTGTGTGTGTGTGTGTGTATGTGTCTGGGGGAGGAATGTGTTATTCAGGGTGCAAGCAATAAATCATAGCTGGAAAAAGAGAAGGTAAACGTGGAATGTTGGAAAATTAGGACCCAGTTAGAATTTTAAAATGATCAATGTATAGCAGATTTTCCAGTAACTGTAAGAATTAAGTTTGACAAAATAGCTTATAGCTCAAATTAAATATATCAATCATCTTTCACAATTGGATATCAGAATTCAATGGATATTTAAATCCACATTATGCATCTTCTGGAAGAATATTTCAAATACTGTAACAGCAACATATGACCTACTACCCTAATTATTATCTTTGTGCAAACCTAAAAACATTAATAAACAAATTAAAAAAGGGGTGAAACTTCAATCGAAGATAAGCAAGTGCTGATGCTATTATTGAGAGGTTACGGAGTCTGACAATGGAATCATAGAATATTACAGCACAGAAGGCCATTTGGCCCATCATGCCTGTGCCGCTCTTTGGAAGAGCACCCAATTAGTCCTACTCTCTCGCTCTTTCCCCTGACCCGGGAACTGTATGAACATACATAATTGAAATGACATTGTTATTTAAGAAACCAAGGTTTATGATGGAGCTGAACAATACACTCACACTGCTGGACTCAGTAACTTAGTTCCACAATTAGGACACTGGCCATTCAGAAAAAAAAATTAATAACAGATTACTTAAACTGAATTGCTCCCAATTTTTAAATGCGGCTATGAAAGTGTAATGTGCTTGTCAAAATATCTTATGTCTTTACATATCAAATGCAAGGATTATTATTATATTACTCTTAGATGCTGAATGTGCTTAGTTTGTATTATTTAGTTGTAAAGTACTGGAATGCTGTTTGACAACCTGCTGCCTTTGGAGATTATTCTTTAATCAACGTTTTATGTACAGTATACCATAGCATCATAGTAAGCTGTTAAGTGAAAAATCTTCCCTTTTGAGCACACAGGGGAAAAAAGCATTCAAGACTAAATAATAAAAGTCCTAAAGGTGAGTGTGCTTTTTATTTAACATTCCCCAGGTTTTTTTTAATGGGGCTCCTGTAAATTTGATGAATTGAGTTTAATACCACATAAAGTTATCCTCTCAACAAATATGTGAAATGTTCTACCCAGTGGAATTCAATACAAATTAAAGTTTTTCAACACAACTAATATGAAGAGTACATGGCCTGTGTACTCACAGCATAAATCTCCACTCTTTCCTCCTTGATTTCTGCAAATTATTTCAAAGCTCAATGGGCAAAGAGCGTTTTAATGGTGTAAATACTTAAACCGTACATTCTTAATGTCCACCAGGAAAAGGTAAAAGTGCACAATTTGTATTATAAATTTTGTTTAGCAATAGACCTGTGAGCCAGAGTGATGAAGCATTTCAACACAATTTGCCTCACTAGATTAGTTAATACATGGAAGAAGTTTGACAAATACTTTTTGTGAAATGATTTACTATGAAGGCTAAGTTTGGTACAGTTATGCAGATGGTAATCAAACAGCAGTATCATTTTTGCAACAGTGCAAGAATATAGCATGTTGAGCACTATGACTGTTTTAACTGCAACCAAATAAAATGGCCCAGATCTGTTATATACAGATCTAAAGCAGTATTTTGTCAAACTTTTTTTTAAATTCCAAAAGCAAAAGTGATTACACTTCTAATTTTCTTTAAATATTACTTTACCTTAAATAGTAGCAGTTCACAGATGTGATCTTTCCCCCTATTCATAAGAAAGCACAAAGGCCATTCAGCACATTAACCCCTTTCCTTGCACAGCCAATGTACAGCCTAACCTTATTATGATCTCTGTGCCATCTGCATATAGATCCTCTAATCCCAAAGGCACACAAGCAAAAACCTAGAAAATATCCATCTTAATATTGCCACTACTTTCCCCCCTGTTTCCCAAAGAGTGTCAGTGGGGCTGAACTGGTTCCAATGGGATACAGATTCCCAGCAAATCAGACAAACTTGGGGAGACCCCGTGAGAGCCCCAACCCCACAGGGCAGTAGCGTGTCCTCCCCCCTACATTGGTACCGATTATATTTTCTAGTCTATATTAAAAGAGAAGTACCAACACCTGACCGGGATGGGACTTAAGTTCTGAATCTCTCCATAGCACCCGATGTGGCTTACAAACAATGGGCGAAGAAGGGGAGGAAGGGAGGGAGGGAGGGGTGGGGTGGTTGGGGGTCCACAGACCCCTCGGTGATGGGTCTGAGTCTGGCCCATCAGGAGAGGAGGCGAAGGGGAGGTTTTGCCAGAAACTAAAATGCGTTTGTAGCCCCAAAGTCAACCAAATCCGAAGCCCAGTTCGGAGCCATCGCCTACCATCGTGGGAGGCAAGAGTGGCCACTGCGCATTTCAGACGAGTGCTGAGAGAAACTGTAAGAAAATAAAAGGTGTTCGGGTGGGTGGGGAGGGATGAGGGGAGGGGGGGAGGGATGAGGGGGGGAGGGATGAGGGGAGGGGGATGAGGGAGGGGGAGGAGAGGGAGGGGGGGGAGGATGAGGGGAGGGGGGGAGGGATGAGGGAGGGGGGGAGGGATGAGGGGAGGGGGGGGAGGGATGAGGGGAGGGGGGAGGGATGGGGGGGGGGAGGGATGAGGGGAGGGGGGGAGGGATGAGGGAGGGGGGGGATGGAGGGATGAGGGAGGGAGGGATGGGGAGGGGGGAGGGATGAGGGGAGGGGAGGGATGAGGGGAGGGGGGAGGGATGAGGGGGGGGAGGGATGAGGGGAGGGGGGGGAGGATGAGGGGAGGGGGGAGGGATGAGGGGAGGGAGGGATGAGGGGAGGATGAGGGGAGGGATGAGGGGAGGGGGGGAGGGAGGAGGGGATGATGAGGGAGGGGGGGGGGGGAAAGGGTCGAACGGTTTGCGGGTTTAAATCATTTTTTTCTGATTTTTTTTCAAAAAAAAAGTTACCTAAAATCGAGCAACCCCCCCCCCCCACCTCACCCCACCGCCAAAAAAATTATAAAAACCCGCCCGATTGGGCGTGAACCCGCCCAACCTGGCAGCATTGGGCTCCCGAGTCGACTTGGAGCCAACCGACGCGGGGAGGGGAGGAGGAGGAGAGGGGAGGGGGGAGGAGAGGGAGGGGGGGGAGAGGGAGAGGGGGGGGGGAGAGGGAGGGGGGGGCGGCCTAAGCTCGGAGGCTCCAAACTCCCAACTAATGAGAGGAAGAGGAGGAGGAAAGCGACAGCGGGAAGAGCTCGGGAACGGGCGCCAACGACGCCGACACTTCACTTGGGTCGAGGCGGCCCCCGGGACCCGCTCTCTCAACCCCACATATCACACACACACACACACACACAGAGAGAGAGAGAGAGAGAGAAAAAATTAAATACACATAACACACGCGACTTCCTTTCAGCAAACTCTCTCTCTCTCTCTCTCTCTATACACATATATAATATATATATATATCTTTCTCTCTCTCTATAAAAATACATTAAAAAAATTAAAAATCCCGTTATACATATTTACATATTTTTTAAAAAAATATTTTAAAAAAAGTCAGGTCCCGGTCCGGTAACGGGTTATCTCTCTCTCTCTCTCTCTCTCTCCTCCTCCTCCTCTCTCTCTCCTCCCTCCCTCTCTCTCTCTCTATCGGCCGCCATGTTACGACTCACTGGATGGGGAGTGCAGTCAAGTCACCGACCGAAGGGGGGAAAAACCCCGTCGCCGGGAACATGGAGCGGGAGGGAGGAGAGGGGGAGAGGGGGAGAGGGAGGAGTGGGGAGAGGGAGGAGGGGGGAGAACCGTGGGGGTCGGAGAGGGGGGGCTTTTTTTTTCAAAAAAAACGCTCGACTAATTTGACGGTTGAAGAGCCGCACTTTTTTTTTACTTACCGCTCTGAAGGGATACATTTGAAAGCGCGGGCAGCACTGCTCACACACACACACACACACAGGGAGGGAGGGAGGGAGGGGAGGGAGGCGATGGTGGGCTTCTCGCTCCTTTCTCCGAGGGCGGCAGCCGGCGGACCCCGAACCCTGGATTGGCGCAGCTGCTGCCGCCCGAGGAGGAGGTAGAGGAGAGGGAGGGAGGGAGGGAGGGGAGGAGGGAGGAGGAGGCGGGGCCGGACCGGCCAGCCTGTGATTGACAGCACGGGGTGGGTGGGTGGGTGGGGGGGGGAGGAGCCCCCGCGTTGCTATGGTTTCCCGGCTGTGATTGGCACGCCTGGCCCCGCCCACTCTCCCCCAACCCCTCCTCCTCCTCCTCCTCCTCCTCCCCCTCCTCCTCCAGTTCCATTCTTTATCATCATATCGTCACCTTCATCGCCCGTCGTCACCCGTCCTTCATCCGCGCCGTGTCGCACAGCGCCTGGACCACGTCTTCCAGACGTCTCGCGACGCCCCGCGGGGTAGTGCGACCGCCGTACGGCGAATTGACCGCAATGTTTTTGTGGGCCAAACGCGGGCGGCCGATTGCAACTCTTCTCTCTTCCCACCCCCTCCACCCCCTCCACCCACCCACCCAAACCCCCCACCCCCACCCCCCAAAAAAAAAATCCCCACCGCGTACTGCGTACGGAAGCGTCCGTGCGCGGGGAAGCTGAGGCAGGAGTCTCGCGCAACCTCGCTGCCACCCCAGGCAATTTCTCGACTGTACTTAATGCAACAACAACAACAACAACAAGATTCCATTTATAAAGCGCCTTTCACGTCAGGAGGACGTCCCAAGGCGCTGCACAGTTGGCCCGAGCAGGGGGGAAAAGGTCATGACCGAGCAGGGGGAAATGGTCAGGGTGAGAGGGAAGGGAGGGAGCAAGGAGGGGGAAATGGTCAGGTGAGGGGAGGGGCAGGAGGGGGAAATGGTCAGAGTGAGGGGAGGGAAGGGAGGGAGCGAGGAGGGGGAAGAGAGTCGAGAGGGGAGCTGAAGGCACGGCCAAAGAGAAAGGTTTTGAGACCGGCCTTGAAGGAGGAACAGGGAATGCAACAGGGAGTCACTGCGCTTTACTTCTTAAAAGTCGAGACTTGTTTCAGAAGCTCTCGGAACGCTTGATAGTGGTAACTGCCGTTTTTTGCAACCGCAGTGCAAACCCCATGGGCTCTGGTTTTTGGAGTTCAGAACGTGTGTGCGCTTCCTGCCAGTCTCCTTGATGACCTGTGATCAAGATGGACCTCACCATAAGAAAATGGGCCGGGGTGCTCAAGTGTTACCCTTTGACCATTCTCTTCTCCATCGTGGGTTTGGAAAGCCACGATCATGTTGGTGAAGGTGCTCTGTGATACTGTATGTTTGTGTGCGAGTGTTGCTTTATTACTACAATGGTTAGCCATGTAAGATTGACATCTATTACTGTATTTATTTCAATTGCTTTTCTTGTTCATACACTGAAAGAGTTGCCAAACACTTTTAAGTTAACTTTTTTCGTTAAGATATGTTCAGGTTGTGAAACATTTTTTTTGGGGTGTTGACACACGTGAAAACCCATCAACAACAACAACAACACAACAACAAGATTCCATTTATAGAGCGCCTTTCACGTCGGGAGGACGTCCCAAGGCGCTGTACAGTTAGGTCAGGACCCGAGCAGGGGGAAATGGTCAGGGGGAGGAGGGAAGGGAGGGAGCGAGGAGGGGGAAGAGAGTCGAGAGGGGAGCTGAAGGCACGGTCAAAGAGAAAGGTCTTGAGACCGGCCTTGAAGGAGGAAAGGGAGGAAGCGGCGAAGGCACTGGGGGATGGAGTTCCAGAGCCTCGGGGCTGAGAGGCTGAAGGCCCGGCCACCGATGGTAGGGCGGGGGATGTGGAGCATCACGGTGCTTAAGAGTATCCAAACCAAGCTGAGATTTCCACGCATCCCACCTACACATAGAAATCCCAGAGATAGATTGTTGGAATGGAATTCGCCCTCTCTCCCTAAAGAGACACATCCTGCTTACCTGATTCTGGAAAGTAGTAGGTGCAGGTTGGCAAGAGGCCAGGCTGAGGGACCGCAGAGTGTGCATTGGGGTACTGCTGGAGTCTAACCAGAAAAAAACGCGTAGCTGGCCATATATACTGTTGTTTTTGCCTGGGGGTGACAATGTGAACTTATAATAAGACTTGCATTTGATATAGCACCTAAACGCATCAAAATGTATCAACATGCTTCACAGAGTTTTCTGTGGAGTACAAGTCACTGTGTATTTGTACAGAAACACATCAAATTTTTGCACAGTGCAAGCACCTTGAAGTGATTACCATTTTTTTTTAAATCTGGAAATTTGTTTCTTGTTGTCCAAGAAACTGGGAGGGATTCCTTTCTCTCCTCTTTTTGAATAAAGTCATGGGATAATTTATATTCACTTGATCAGACAATATCTCATTTCATTCGAAAATTCAGCATTGGAGTGTTAGCCTATCTAGACCATGAGTATTAAAGTTCTAATATGGGTCTTGAATCCATAACCTTCTGACTCGCAAGTAAGAATGCTACCAACCTCGCCTGGCTGGCACAGCCTATTTAATTATGGATGAAGTTACAGATGAAGGTGTTCAAAAAAAAGCAGGTGTAATAAATAAAGATGCCAAAATGAATGCAAATTTTGTGAAAGTGTTATCTCAAAGCTAATAGCTGTTAAAGCACACTCTTGCTCGTAAGATGAATGTGGCATTTTTAAGATTTGCAAGTTATACTCAAGCTACTTTTGGTAGCCGAGTGCTTTAATTTATATGTGACTAACTGTTTCCATGAAATATAAATTAATATGAAATGATTTGCAATTCAATGATATGCACAAGTATTGAAAGAGCTAATCCTAGTTAAGTTAGTCTTCTTACGTAAATCCTTTTCAACTTTTCTTGTTTAATGTTGAATACAGCAGTTATATCCCTAAATCTACTGCACACATAGATAGAGCTTTCTGGGCTGTGGAAGTATTAATTTTGAAACATATTACATATAATGTGATGTTTTTATCTTCTTAACAAAAGATCATTTTACTAAAATTCCATCAAGGACAAATCACTTCCCTTTCACAAAACTTTAATATTGCTTGTTTGCACATTGCTGGAGCTCCGTCTGTTGCATGCT